TGGTCTCCCTGGTATCTCCTCTTCCACAACCCCCTCCCTTTTCCATTGCAGTCAGCATGATCTTCTCGAAATGTGAGTCAGAGCCCTTTCAGTGGCTTCTCACAGCACTTTGGTTTCTGCCTAGATATCACCTCATCAGAGAGCTGCCCTCATCACCCTGTGTGTGTGAAACAGTGCCTGTGCCTCCCTCTGTTCCTTATCCCTTTTACCTGCTTGGATTTTTTTTTTTTTAATTAATTAATTTATTTTTTTTGAGACGGAGTTTCGCTCTTGTTACCCAGACTGGAGTGCAATGGCGCGATCTCGGCTCACCGCAACCTCCGCCTCCTGGGTTCAGGCAATTCTCCTGCCTCAGCCTCCTGAGTAGGTGGGATTACAGGCACGCACCACCATGCCCAGCTAATTTTTTGTATTTTTAGTAGAGACTGGGGTTTCACCATGTTGACCAGGATGGTCTTGATCTCTTGACCTCGTGATCCACCCGCCTTGGCCTCCCAAAATGCTGGGATTACAGGCTTGAGCCACCGCGCCCGGCCGGATTTTTATTTTTATTTTTTAGATGGAGTCTTACTGTGTTGCCCAGGCTGGAGTGCAGTGGTGTGATCTCCACTCACTGCAACCTCTGCCTCCTGGGTTCAAGCGATTCTCCAGCCTCAGCCTCCCAGGTAGCTGGGGTTACAAGCATGCACCAGCATGCCAGGCTAATTTTGGGTTTCACCATGTTGGCCAGGCTGGTATCTAACTCCTGACCTCAGGTGATCTGCCACCTTGGCCTCCCAAAGTGCTGGGACTACAGGCTAAGCCACCACGCATAGCCTGGATTTTGTTAAGAGTACCTAGCGCCACTGGCGTGTTAAGTAGTGGTGTGTTGGCTGTCACCTTCCCCGGAGACCCTAGCTAGGTGGGACCTGGGAGCCTGATTCATATACTGCTTTTAGCTGTTTGCAGTTCACACCTCATTCTCGTCTTGCAGAATGACTGCTCCCAAAGCTATTGAGGCTTCTGTGGGAGAGGGTTTGCTGTGCGTCAACTTACCTCTGGGAGAGTTTCGGCTCAGGGAAATCAGTTACCAGATTTTTGGCTTCTGTTTATTAAAAATTTATCAAAATACCACATTGGCTTCTCTTTATGTGGTTCCCTTTTGTTTTAGAGTTCTGTTTGTGCATACTGTATTTCTGTAATGTAGATCAAATGGGTCTCAGAAGAGGATACTGATAATCATGTTTAAATCTCTCCATTCTCTCTGTTCCTACTTTCAAATCACGTTTAGTCTCCATCTCAGCCTCCCTAATGGGCATAAATCTTACAGTGTTGTAGGTGTTTGGATTTTTTTTCTTTTTTCTTTTTCAGAAGTCATTACCAGTTGTAGGTGTTCTGATTTGTGAAATTAGATATTGTAGAAAAACCATTTAGCATAGAAGAATAGTGGCTGTTACTCTGCATAGCAGCTGAGTACCACTGAGCCAGGAGGAGCCGCAGGCTCCATGGAGGGGCCTGGGTAAGAGGAGTCTTTGGCTGTAGTGAGACCCTCATGCTACTTGGGATACATAAGAAATGCCTTTAGTTTCAGTCCCTTGAGCTAAACTGTTATAAAAGTGCAGTTATTCTGTGCTAATTTTGTGAATATCAGCTTTCATTTATTTAGCATTTACCTGATATGTTTTTTCATTTCTTTATTTTCTAGTTTGTATTTTTTCTTTGGTGCAGGCCATGAGTTTCCCACGGTCTTAGTTATGTTTTCAGTATGTTTCTTCTAACAACATATTGCTGTGTTTATCTCATGTATATATCTCTCCTTGTGTTTTTCTTGCTTATGAGCTGCAATGAATGATCACCACATTTTGCATTATTGCTGCTATCATGTCGTGTGTTGTGCATTTTCCCTGCTATCCTGCGCTTTCTCATTGACTTGGATTTGTTGAACTGAGTATGTTCTTTCTCAGTCTGTTTTTCTTCTACTGTTTTGGAAGGCATTCTTGTCTTCTTCCTCACTCCCTCCCTACATTTTTAGTGCTTTTAGGTTGTTCACAGGCACACTGAGTGTTCCCCTTTAAACCAAAGTCTAAACCAGGAGTCCCCAAACTACGGCCCACGGGCCACATGCAGCCCCCTGAGGCCATTTATCCGGCCCCTGCCGCACTTCAGGAAGGGGTACCTCTTTCATTGGTGGTCAGTGACGCAAAGCGCAGCGTTGCTCAGGTACAGTACTATTTCCGGTGACGTGGGATGCACGTGTCACGGCTCCAGAAGCGCATCATATGATGCACATGCGGTCTGCGGCTGCGGCGCCCCACATCACCGGAAGCGGTGTGAAATAACAGAAGTAGGAAGAAAGGTAAAGCACTATAACCATTACTACACAGTACAATGGCCTCCATACTCCCCCAAATGTACAACAACATAATGGCCCCTATAACCTCCCTTTGCCCAGAAGTCTCCCCCCACATTACTACACATCGTGTTCCCCCTATTATAAGACCCTGTCTTATATTAATTTTACCCCCAAAAGACGGGGGCTGTCTTATTTATAGGAGATGTCTTATAATGGGGAAACATGCAGCAGTGGGCTTCCCACAGAAGAGGTCCCACCGCCGCTGCAGATGTCCAGGACGCTGTATACACAGTGCCACAGGCTGATCACCACCATCCCTGTAGACAGCACTGGAGGCGGTGCTGGGCCTGTGACACTGGATACCGCTCTCTGGGACAGTGGAGGCAGCAGTGCTGGCTGTGAAGGGTGTCACAGCTTGCACTAGTCCGGCCCTCCAACGGTCTGAGGGACAGTGAACTGGCCCCCTGTGTAAAAAGTTTGGGGACCCCTGGTCTAAATAGTTGCATTTTCTCTTTTCCCAAATGAAAGATGTTTCTTTATACCTTCATTTTCTATGATTCTCATCTGTTTGCATCACATACATGCTTAAATCATAGCTGATTACAATTTTAGTTCAGATGTGTTTGAAGCAGTATTTAGGGTTATGTTCTGATTTCAGTGCTCAGCATGGGATCCAGCTTCCCGCTAAATCTATGTCTTAATGTAGTTTGTATAGGATGTAATTTTCTAAATTTAAAACAATTGTTTAATTTTTTTTAGAGACAGAGTCCGGTTCTGTTGCCCAGTGTAAAGTGCAGTGGCACAATCATGGCTAACTATAGCCTTAAACTTCTGTGCTCAAACAGTCCTTCCATCTCAGCCTCCTGAGTACCTGGGACTACAGGCATGCACCACCATGCCCACAAATTTTTTGTTATTTGTAGAGATGTGGTCTAACTATGTAACCTAGGCTGGTCTCAAACTCCTGGCCTCAAGTGATCCACCACAGCTTCCCAAAGTGCTGGGATTACAGGCATGAGCTGTCACATTCTCCAGGTGTTTGTATATTTGAAAATGTCTCTTATTGTCCCTATTCTTGCCTTTTAGTTTGGCTGGTATAAGATTTCAGAATCAGCATTATTTTATCTCAGTACTTTATTTCTCTCCCACTTTCAGGAAGCATTGCTTTTCCTTTTAGTTAGTGATCTTGTGTTCTCTTTATACTTTATTTTCAGAAGTTTCATTACTATCTGCTTAAATTTGGACCTTTTATTTTTTGTTAACTTATCTTGCATTTCAATTAGTAGGTTTTTCTCATGTGAACTCCCATATTTGTCTTCACTCTAGGAAAATTTTCAGGCCATATTTCTTCGAACATTGCCCTATTATTTCTCTTATTTATGTAAACCTACATTGGCAATTCTTCTATAAACCAGGAAAATCATTCCAGGTTTATTTTGTAGTCTAGCTCTTACTTGTTCACCCAGTATAGCCATGGCTATGGTTTGAGTGTATCTTCCAAATTTCTTGTGTTGGAAATGTAATCCCTAAATTTATTTGTTGGTGGTATTTGGAGGTGGGACCTCTGGGAGGTATTTCGGATTAGATCAAGTCATCAGGGGAGGGCCCGTATGATGGGATTAGTGGCTTTATAAGGGTAGGAAGAGAGACCTGAGCTGGCATGCTCCCTGCCTCTCGTCACGTCAGGCCTTCCACCAAGTTACGACATGGCAGGGAGGCCCTCAGCCGATGCCAGCACCATGCTCTTGGACTTCCTGGCCTCCAGAACCTTGACCTAAATGAACATTTTTCTTTATAAATTACCCAATTTCTGGTATTCTGTTTTAAAAATAGAAGACAAAGACAGCAGTCTTTTCTGTTTCTGAAATCTTTGCAGTTACTTGAATTGACCAGGTTCTACCATGTGTTCTATGTGATGCTTCCTCTTGGTACAGGGACTGCAAGTTATGTCCCAATCTATTGTTTTTCTTTCTTTCATAATAGATTTGCCAGTTTTTCAGTTGGGCATATACAGAAACAGACTACATTTCTGAATTTCCCTGCTGTTCCCTCCCAGCCCCCACTCTTTCTGTTCCTTAGAATGCTGACGTGGTGACTAGAGCCATCTCAGACTGGATTACCCTGGAAGTGGAAGCCATGTCAGGTGGAGCAGGAGATGGAAGCCCCAGACCAATTGCCTTCAGACTCCTACAAGTAGAAGGAGAAACTCTCTTGTTTATCCTCCTGTTGTTCTCAGTTGAACCCTGTTCCAAATACCTCCTGAATTGCCCTTTCCACCCCAACTTCTTGAGGAACACATCATGAATCTTCTATACTACTTGAGTGTCTGTCTTCATTTCTGTGCACAATGTACCATGGGTATGTTTCTATGAAGGACTCAGAACACCTTATTTTATTTGCATGTATAAATGTTCATTTCCATCTGCATGATAGAAAGCTTCTCAAAGACAGAACTGGATTTTATTCATTCTGAAATCTTCAGGACCCAAAAGAGTACTGGCAGATAGAAGCGCCTTGATTGACTTTTAATTCCCTCACAAAGTAGATGCCGGATCCAGGCACGGGAGATAGTCTGTAAAGGAACATTTACCCTTTCCCAGTTCTCTGCATGTTTTCCATGTCACCTGATGCAATTGCGTCTAATTGAATGGAGTGTGTATTATTTCAGGGATTGTTGTCGTTCAAGGATGTGTCTGTGGAGTTCACCTGGGATGAGTGGCAGCTACTGGATTCCAGACAGAAGTACCTGTACAGAGAGGTGATACTGGAAAACTACCATAACCTGATCTCGGTGGGTGAGTACTGCTGCTCTGCTTAACTCAGACAGTGAGTCATAAATTGCCATCCCTTTTGTTGTTGTTGACCTACTCTGGGACCTCTGAAGTGCTTGATGATTGAACTTCAGAGGTTAAATTTTTTTTTTTTTTTGAGACGGAGTTTCGCCCTTGTTACCCAGGCTGGAGTGCAATGGCGCGATCTCGGCTCACCGCGACCTCCGCCTCCTGGGTTCAGGCAATTCTCCTGCCTCAGCCTCCTGAGTAGCTGGGATTACAGGCACGCACCACCATGCCCAGCTAAGTTTTTGTATTTTTAGTAGAGACGGGGTTTCACCATATTGACCAGGATAGTCTCCATCTCTTGACCCGTGATCCACCCACCTCGGCCTCCCAAAGTGCGGGATTACAGACGTGAGCCACCACGCCCGGCCCAGGTTAAATTTTCTTAGTCCCTGTTTGGCCCTCGCTTTCTAGCCGTGGGATGAGCAGTTTGGCTCCGTAGCTCTTGCTTCCTCGGTCCTGTCCCTGACCCTGGTCCACAACCTCTGTGATTTCCCATTAACAGGGTATCATGGTGCCAAGCCTGACTTAATCTTCAAGTTGGAACAAGGAGAAGATCCGTGGATAGTAAATGCCAAAATTTCCAGGGAGAGCTGTCCAGGTGGGTGAGTGAGAATGAGGAAGGTGGGAGGCGTGGGAGTGAACTGACGGGTCCCTGAGGAGTGGGCACTTGCAGTGTTGTCTACTGAAATGCTTCTGGAAGTCCTTGAACTAATGGAGCTGACTCAGGATGAAGCCATGAGCTCCTCAGATAAGGAAATCACCGTCACTCTTCATATATTTTGGTTTTTCTTCCCCTTTATTGTTGAGAGGGAGGCGTGTCCCCTCTTCCCTGAACTCTGCTCAGGATTTGCTTTTGGGTCAGTTTCCCTCCTTCCCATGGTCATGGGTGTAATTGGGGAATCAAGACCTTCAGGGGATTTCTTTTTCCTCTCACTGGGTGTGGCTCATGGCCCTCTATTTCCTTTCTTTTACTTCATCTTTAGTCTTCCACAGTTAAATCCCCTGGACTTTACTCACAGTCTTAAGTGGCCCTGGTGTCTCCTGTGTCCTGAGTGATCTTTCACACCTTAGGCTTCCCTTTTGTGTCGTCCAAAGGGGTGTTTTCCCACGTCTGGCTGTCCTCTCCTACGCTGTAACTGTCAACAGGCTCCTCCGTTCTGAAGGTTTAAGCTTTGCCCCCGTGTCCGTCTTTCTCTTCGGCACTTGAGTCCTGGGTTTTACATGCTTCCCATGTCTGGGAAAGCTCCCCCCTGCTTTCCCAGACCTCACTTCCAGTATCGCACATGGGGATTTCCTTCTAAAATTACCATTATTCCTCAGAAGAAATGGCCAGAGTCCTTCGTTTTCTTCCACAAGTTTCTTTCGTAGTGTTCCCACCTCTGAGGAGCAGGGTCACCTTTCTTAGTGTTCCCACCTCTGAGGAGCAGGGTCACCTCTCCAGCCAAGCTCTTCGTTCCTCCCCTTCTCTGCTCCACGTCCAGTCCCTCAGCAGATCCTCTTAGTTGTCTCTCCCATATACTGCAGATTTCCTCAGCTCCAGGCATGTGTTAGGCCATTCTTGCATTGCTATAAAGAAATACCTGAGACTAGGTAATGTATAAGAAAAGAGGTTTAGGCTGGGCGCGGTGGCTCAAGCCTGTAATCCCAGCACTTTGAGAGGCCGAGGCGGGCGGATCACGAGGTCAAGGGATCGAGACCATCCTGGTCAACATGGTGAAACCCCGTCTCTACTAAAAATACAAAAATTAGCTGGGCATGGTGGTGCGTGCCTGTAATCCCAGCTACTCAGGAGGCTGAGGCAGGAGAATTGCCTGAACCCAGGAGGCGGAGGTTGCGGTGAGCCGAGATGGCGCCATTGCACTCCAGCCTGGGTAACAAGAGCGAAACTCCGTCTCAAAAAAAAAAAGAAAAGAGGTTTAATTGGCTCACAGTTCTGTGTGGTGTACAGGAAGTACAGCAGCGTTTGCTTCTGGGGAGGCCTCAGGTAGCTTCCAGTCATAGTGGAAGGCAAAGGGGGAGCAGTCACATCACACGTGAAAGCAGGAGCGAGAAGGAGGTGGGGGGGGGGGATGTGCCACATACTGTTAAATGACCAGATCTCACAGGAACTCACTGCCATGAAGACTGCGCCAAGCCATAAGGGATCTGCTATCACTCAGATCCAGACACCTCCCAGCAGGCCCCGCCTCTGGCGTTGAGATTACAGTTCAGCCTGAGACTTGGGTGGGGACAGGTATCCAAAGTATATCAAGAAGTGTAGTTCAAATTATTATCTCATCCTGGACTGCTACAAGAGCTTTCTGAAGTACTTCTCTGCTCATTTATTACTCACTTTTTACAGAATAGTCAACTGATCTTTTAAATGCAGAAGACTGAGATTTTCTGAAATTAAAAACCTTTAGGCTGGGCACAGTGGCTTACGCCTGTAATCCCAGCACTGTAGGAGGCTAAGGCGGGCCACTCGCTTGAGCTCAGGAATTTGAGACCAGCCTGGCCAACAAGTGAAACCCCATCTCTACTAACAATACAAAAATTAGCTGGGCATGGTGGCATGTGCCTATAGTCCCAGTTTCTCAGGAATCTGAGACGGGAAGATTAATTGAACCCAGGAGGTTGAGGCTGCAGCAAGCCAAGATTGAGCCAGTGCACTCCAGCCTGGGTGACAGAGTAAGACCCTGTCTCAAAAAAGAAAAAAATTCTTTAAAATGTAAACAACTTTTTACCATGGTTTTGAGTAATTTCATTCTGCTTTCATTCCGTTCACTCACTGGGTTTTAGCTGTCCTGGCCTTTTTCTGTTTCTTAAACCCTGCCAATCAGGCTTCCTCCTCAGGAACTTTGTACTTGGTATTCCTTCTGTTTGGAGAGTTAATTTTCTTTTCTTTTCTTTCTTTCTTTCTTTTTTTTTTTTTTTTTTTTTTTTTGAAACAAAGTCTCACCCAGGCTGGATGAGTACAGTGGCATGATCTCAGCTCACTGCAACTTTTGCCTTCCGGGTTCAAGCAATTCTCCTGCCTCAGCTTCCTGGGTAGCTAAGACTACAGGTGTATGCCGCCATGCCCAGCTACTTTTTTGTATTTTTAGTAGAGATGAGGTTTCACCATGTTGCCCAGGCTGGTCTTGAACTCCTGAGCTCAGGCAATCCACCTGCCTCGGCCTCCCAAATTGCTAGGATTACAGGCGTGAGCCACCTCTCCGGCCTCATTTTCATCTTTAATGTCTCATTCTCACCCTACCTAAATATCATGCCATAGTTATTTTGTATCCTATGAATTCATTTTTTAGTTAGGTAAAATCTTGCAATAATAAAATTCAGATACAAAATAATTAGCAAGTGGCTTCCAAGTACCAACTTTATTATTATTGTTGTTATTATTTTTTGAGACAGTGTCTCACTCCATCACCCAAGCTGGAGTGCAGTGGTGCAATCTGGACTCAGTGCAACCTCTGCCTCCCGGGTTCAAATGATTCTCCTGCTTCAGCCTTCCTAGTAGCTAGAATTAGAGGTGCCCACCACCACGCCCAGCTAATGCAAGTGCCAATTTTAAACCTCTATTTTGAAAACTGTTTTTGGTTTCTGGTAATTGGCCACCAGTTTGGGGAGGCCTGTTTTGGTTTGTTTTGATTCCGATCCCTTGCCCCCATGCTTGGCCGATAATTCTTTTGAAGCAGAGTCGTGTGCTGGTTACCAAAAGAGAAAGATTGATGACATGGCAGTCCTGAAGCTCTTTAATTCCATGTCAGGTTTATGTGATGATTCAAAAAGTTATCTTTTGTTTGTTTTTTTCTAGATGGCTGGGAAGAATGGTACCAGAAAAACCAAGATGAGCTTGAATGTGTTGAAAGAAGCTATGCTTGTAGTGTGTTGGGAAGACTTAATCTGAGCAAAACCCACGATTCTTCAAGACAACGATTCTATAACACACATGGAAAAAGTTGGACACAAAACTCAGCTTCAAGCAGAAGTTATTTAAGAAAGAATCCTGATAAGTTTCATGGTTATGAACAACCATATTTTCTTAAGCATCCAAGAGCTCATAGCATAGAAAAAAACTGTGTGTGTAGTGAATGTGGGAAAGCTTTTCGTTGCAAATCACAGCTCATTGTACATCTCAGAATTCATACAGGAGAGAGACCTTATGAATGCAATAAATGTGAAAGAGCCTTCAGTGCCAAGTCAAACCTCAATGCTCATCAGAGAGTTCACACAGGAGAAAAGCCCTACTCATGTAGTGAATGTGAGAAGGTCTTCTCCTTCAGGTCACAGCTCATTGTCCATCAGGAAATTCACACAGGAGGGAAGCCCTATGGTTGCAGTGAGTGTGGGAAAGCCTACAGTTGGAAATCACAGCTGATTTTACACCAGAGAAGCCATACAGGAGTGAAACCCTATGAATGTAGTGAATGTGGGAAAGCCTTTAGTTTGAAGTCTCCATTTGTTGTGCACCAGAGAACTCATACAGGAGTGAAACCCCATAAATGTGATGAATGTGGGAAAGCCTTTCGGAGTAAATCCTACCTCCTTGTTCACATTCGAATGCACACAGGAGAAAAACCCTATCAGTGCAGCGATTGTGGAAAAGCCTTCAATATGAAGATGCAGCTCATCGTACATCAGGGAGTCCACACAGGAAATAATCCTTACCAATGCCATGAATGTGGGAAAGCCTTTGGTAGGAAGGAACAGCTCACCGCACATCTGAGAGCTCACGCAGGAGAGAAGCCCTATGGGTGCAGTGAATGTGGGAAGGCGTTCAGCAGCAAGTCATACCTTGTTATACATCGGAGAACACACACTGGAGAGAGACCCTATGAATGTGGTTTGTGTGAGAGAGCCTTCTGCGGAAAATCACAGCTGATTATACATCAGAGGACTCATTCAACTGAGAAGCCCTATGAATGTAATGAATGTGAAAAAGCCTATCCTAGGAAGGCATCGCTGCAGATACATCAGAAAACTCATTCAGGAGAGAAACCCTTTAAATGCAGTGAATGTGGAAAAGCCTTCACTCAGAAGTCCTCTCTCAGTGAACATCAGAGAGTTCACACAGGAGAGAAACCATGGAAATGCACTGAGTGTGGGAAATCCTTCTGTTGGAACTCAGGTCTTCGTATACATCGGAAGACTCACAAATGAGAAGTCAGAATGATGCATATGTGAGAAACTGTGTCACAGAGGCTGATTTCAGGAGACTTTAGATTACAGAGACAGGAATTACAAGCAGGAGCCCTAAACCTACACTCATGTCAAAAATCATGTAGGAGAGAGATCAACCATATTTGGGATGAGTGTAAAAGCCTTCAGAAATGAGTTACAAATCTTTGTAGATGAAAATAATTGAAGGAATGAGGAGCAGTAAATGTATGAAATGTGGTAGCCTATTATGAAGGTAATCTGGTATCTGGTAAAGAATACCAGAGTATCCTTATCTTGCTAAGAAATCCACATTTCTAAATTATCCACATGAATAAATTAGGGAAGCATTTTCCCATGGAAAGCGTGTTCTGTGGAAAGTCGCATTCCAGATTTGAAGCTATGTTTTTGTAAAATAAAGAAAATCCCATTTATTAACAGTTGACTTGTCATGGTGGAGTTTAAAGGTTTTTTTGTTTGTTTGTTTTAATATGTAAATAAAGTAATGATCAGGAAAACCACAGGGAATAGATTCTTAAAGTTAAGGGATATTTAATGTGACTTCCCTGAGTTAACACTGAATATCATTTCTAAAATTTTTAGTATTTTATTTTTTAATGTAACTTGTTCTGTATCTCTATATATATTTGATAGTTTGTGGAAAAACATCCCCCAGTATTTTGCATATTAAATACTAATTGTCTTTATTTCTTTTTCATAAGCAGAAGTGGCAGTTTATTACAGAGCTGCTGCTTAAGAAAACTCATTGTAATGAACATTTATTATATGTTGGCAGTCTGTGTCTGTTCTCCATTAATTGAGTTGAGCACCCTTGTTTTCTCTGGAGAAATACCTCCCCTCTCTGGGGTGCTTCCTGTGGTGTCTTTCAGGTATCCTTTCCACTAGCTACAGGTGAGCATTTTACCCATTGTTGGATAATGCTGATCTCTTTTTCAGAATTTGGAGTCTGTAATTCATTCACACATGAACCAGAAAATGTCAGCACTCATTCATTCTTGTCCCAGAATTCTGCTGAGACCATCCATTCATTCTGGCAAATTGATTACAAGAGTAACTGTGGATGCTATCCCTTTAGAACCTGCTTCTCAGATCTGGGTGCTTCCTCACTTCTCAATAAAAATGTCTTTTGCTTTTTGTTGTTTGGGTTTTTGTTTTGTTTTGGTTTTTGCTTAACTTAAGGAGAATGACTTTATTTGAAGATAGGAACTTTTTGCCCATCATGTGAAATAGTGTTACTGTTTCTGTACACCTAGAACATTGTAGTCCCTGATGGTGAGATTTTGGAAACACTGAAGAACTGTAGTAGCCTTATAAGAATTTTAAATTTATGAGAAAATCTGGGACAGGAAAGGAGATGGCTGATTTTGATCATGCCAGATCTTAGACGATGAGAATGACAGGCTTGAAGCCCTGAGATCACATCTCAAGGTGGAGTATCAGGGTCAGCAACTTGGACGTTGCTGAAATAGTTTCATTGTTAAAGGCCAAGATACACTACATACAAATGCTGTGTGTAGTATAACATCATTGTTAAAGGCCGAGATAGTCAAACCTCTCCTGAATTCCTGACAAACAGAAACCATCAGAGATAACACCACCTTTGTTGCTATTTGTGGTATAAATTTTGAGGTGATATTTTAGACCATAGCAGTGATTGGAATAGAAATTTAGTGTTGGAAGTGGGGTGCTACTCATTTGCATCACTGGCCTTGGCACTGGATGATGAGCAGAATCTGAAAGGCCAGGGCTGCCTGCACACTCCACAAAGCGGGTGGGAGCCCTGCCCCCGCCAGGCGCAGGACCTGGCATCTCTGAACTCTGCACTCTCAGGCCCGGGTAGGACCCCTCCCCCCACAGGCTTGGGGGTATCTGCTCCTGCTGCCCGGCCGCCTCCTGCTCCCAGCACCTACTCCAGTCTTCAAGCGGGGTTGGAGTTGAGCTCAGGCACTGTCACAGCCCAGCTGGATGGACACAGGCTCAGGACAGTGCTGACACACCAGCCCCCTGCCGCCTCAGACCCTCCAGACTTTGGTGCCAACAAGTGCCGGAGGAGGCCAAGGGGGAGCCTGAGGGCAGCTCGGTGCTGGCCTACAGGTGCCCCTTGGTGCAAGCAGCCTAAGCGCCATGGACAGTGGCAAGAGACAGGCTCCTGGGAGGAAGGGGGCAGGTCCCTGGTGAGGCCCCATCTTCAGGCCAGGGAGGGCCTGAGGCTGGGGGCCAGGCTGCCAGTCCCATGAACTGGGAGTGGGAACTTATGGTTCCTTTTCCTGGCTGCCCATGGACATCCATGAACCAACTGGCAAGCACTTCCTCCTCTCTCAGACCCATAAAAGCCCCGGGCTCAGCCAGAGGTGAACAGATGGTGGGACCACCTGCCTGCAGAGAGGAGCCACTCACTCTAGGACCTCCTCCCTGCTGAGAGCTGAACACTCACCAGGCCAACCAGCTGCAGAGAGGAGCTGCCCTCTGTGCTGGGAGGTGAGCACTGGAGGGACACCCTGGCTGTGGACGGGAGATGCCCCGTGGTCTCCTCTGAGCTGTTCTAACACTCAGCAAAGCTCCTCTTCATCTCTCTCACCCTTCACTTGTCTGCGTACCTCCTCCTTCCCGGCTGCAGGACACGAACGCGAGGCCTGCCGCGTGGCAAGCCTGAAAGGGCTGTAACACAAACAGGACCGAAACGTGCCCCCTGCTCGCCACGTTGTGGGCGGAGAGAAACAGAGAAGAGCTTCAGTCCTTCAAGGAGCCCGGACCTGGAGATCCCTGAGCCATGGCTGTGACTCCCTTTTTGGGGCCCTGTGGTTCGTGGCGTCTCCAAGCTTCTGGGCACCACCGCATTCTCTAGCCGGACCTGGAAGCTGCTTGTGGTGTGCCTAGCCCAGCCGCAGCCTCACAGAGAGCTGGCACCCGTGCCAGCACCTGAAGCTGCCTGCCCCACGGCAGCTGCCAGCGTGTCTGACTGCACAGTGGCTGATTGCCACCCTTGCTCACACACCCTTGCTGCTCCACACGTGACTCACAGTCTCCCTTGGTGGTGTGGGATCTGGGTTGCTGGTGTGAGCTGAGCACGGTAGCATCATGAGCTACACAGAATGAGCCCGTCGGGCACGAGCAAAACTCAGGCAAAGGCGCCACCAGCCACAGAGTTTTCTGACCAGAAAAGTGACACCCAAAGATCTTTTTTTTTTTTTTTTTTTTAAGATGGAGTTTCACTCTTGTCACCCAGGCTGGAGTGCAGTGACGCAGTCGGCTCACTGCAACCTCTGCCTCTCAGGTTCAAGCGATTCTCCTGCCTCAGCCTCCCAGATAGCTGGGATTATAAGTGTCCACCACCATACACAGCTAATTTTTAGTAGAGACGGGGTTTCACCATGTTGGTCAGGCTGGTCTCGAACTCCTGACCTCAGGTGATCCACTCTCCTTGGCCTCACAAAGTGCTGGGATTATAGGCATGAGCCAACATCATCTTATCAGAGCACTAAACATATTAGATCAGGCCCCCAATCTCATGACCTAATTCATTAATTATTCTGAGACAGGGTCTTGCTCTGTTGCTCAAGATAGAGTACAGTGGCATGATCATAGTTCACAGCAGTCTGAAACGCTGAGATTCAGGTGATCCTCCCCCTAACCCTCCTGAGAAGTTGGGACTACAGGCATGTGCCACCATGGCTGGCTAGTTAAAAGAATTTTTTTTTTGAGACGGGAGTCTCGCTCTGTTACCAGGTTGGAGTGCAGTGGCGTGATCTCACTCACTGCAACCTGCCTTAATTATTTTCTTAGATATTCCACTTCCCAATACAGCAACACTGGGGGTTAGGGCTCCAATATATGACTTAAGGGGCACATTCAGTCCATGAAACCACCAACATCCAATAGGAAAACATACTATAGGCCCAGCGCGGTGGCTCATGCCTGTAATCCCAGCACTTTGGGAGGCCAAGGCAGGCGGACCACCTGTGGTCAGGAGTTCAAGACAAGCTTGGCCAACATGGTGAAACCCCATCTCTACAAAATACAAACAAATTTAGCTAAGCATGGTGGCGTGCACCTGCAATCTCAGCTGCTTGGTGGAAGAATCACTTGAACCTGGGTGGTGGAGGTACCAGTGAGCTGAGGTTGTGCCATCGTGCTCCAGCCTGGGCAACAGAGTGAGACTTCATCTCCAAAAAAAGAAAAAAAGAAATCATACTATTAAAAACCCTCATATTCATTATAGCGGTAGAAATGATATGCTAGTTAGAAATATATCTCATAAAATGTTAACTTTAAAATGAGAACTATCTGGAAATAAATCTTCCCAAAACCACATATAAACTGAGAATTTATGAATACAGTAATTTTTTTAAATTTGCAAAGGAGAAACTAAAAAACGGAACGATATATTTGTTCCTAATAGGCTTACTTCATGACATGCACGAAAGCAACATTATGGTTCCTTTTTTTGAGGGGAAAAAAAGCTTTATTCCAAGTCGACTGGCAAAGAGACAGAGGGCAATGCTCAAATCTGTCTCTCTGATTAGAGGGGGGTCAAGTTTCTATGGCGTTTCTACTTATGCTCAGATGACGCCAATGCAGCTGGCTTGCCAGGCTAGTGATGATAACAATGAGGATTTAAAGCTTTTGCACTGCACATGTCAAGGCAATTTTCGCTCTGTTTACCTGCAACAAGTTAAGAAATGGTTAATTTGTTTGAGCTGGCTCCACAATTACAGGTACCCCCACCCCACTTTTTGTGCATTCCTCAATCTTGAGGGAAACGTGGTGATGACCATTCTAGCTACTTCATACTTCCAGGCGTGCAGGTGTGAGTACAAGAAGAATGCATGAGTCGGGCTGTTGACATATGAGATAGCTCTGCTCCATCTGTACCTTGACAAGAAGGAAAAGGAATGCCAACATACATAGAACTATAGTTCCTCATTAGACCCTCAAAAATAGATCTTATCCGTGATGGCCTGGCTGCCATCCTGAGGGAGCTGTTTCCTTCAGCTGCCATCTGCTTCTGGCCTCCCAGCTTCATCAGGCAGAGGCTGGTTTTAGACTCCAAAAGGAATGAAAATATGGATAAATGGCTCTTCATTTATCTATCTGGAGACCCAAGGGCCCTTTCAGTCTGAAGATCAGTTAGGGGTTCACAAGTGTATTCCTGGGTAGAGAAATTCGCTGTGGGCTTCTACAGTCATTTGGGTTTTGGATGACTTGGCCCCACTCCTTCCTTTTGTCTGTAGTAAGTGGAACCTGTGTAGTGATTCTAAATGGGTTGAGAAGAGTTTTAAATATTATCAGATATTACTTTTTTTTGGAGATGGGGTCTTGCTCTGTCACCCAGGCTGGAGTGCAATGGGCAGGTACAATCTTTATTGGTGAATGGTGAACCCAGGGCTTAACTCCTTTTAACTTTATGAATGAATGGGTTACCAGGAGAACTTCATATGGATCCATTTCATTTGGGCTGTAATTGGTCCTCAGGGTTGTGATTTTTCTAGATTTGAAGGGGTACTTGGTCTCCTGGGCTAAGGCATTGTAAAAACATGTATAGGAACAAAGTTGCTCCCAGAGACTGTATATATATTTATATGTAGCTAAATAATATTTATATTATATAAAAATACATATTATCTATAAATATTCTACATATATATCACTCACACACATGCTCACACTTTTTCTTTGCCATAATGAACTGTCCAGCCTCTGTGGGAACATGCATTTTGTCATAACTCACAACCCCACCAATGCTACTCAAAGTTCACAGAGGAACGTGAGGAGTATGGACTCACACGTGGTTTGAGTGTGTGATGCTACATTTGGTAGAATTCCAGCTGAAAAAGAAGGAATCCATATTTTACATTGGCCATTTAACAATGGAGCTCACCACCTAATCAGATAGCAGATGACTGGCTAACCCTGTTAAACACCGATTTTCGTGAAGAGCCAGGTTGCTGTGTTGCAGTGCATTGTGCTGTGGGTTTGGGAAGGGGACCCGTGCTGGTTGCACTTGCTTTGACTGAATATGGAATTAAGTATGAAGATTCAGTTTGGTTTACAAGACGAAAAAGAAGGTCAGCATTCTGTTCTAAACAGCTGCTTTACTTGGAGAAATACCGACCTAAGATGCGATTACACTTCAGA